AAGTGAATTAGGATACCCCCGAAATTAAAGCTGTTCAGTTGTAGCCACTCTGCCAGCACTACTGACCAAAGACAAAAAAATCAATAACTTTTATGAACACCATTTTGAGTTTGAATCCCCAATAGGCAATCAAAGACCTTGTCTAAAGTTACGTTTCGAAAGAGCGCCCCTACCGGCATTTTATATCAAAGGGCCCATGTAAATGAAACTTTTTGATCATAGCTGTCAACTTTAGTCCCCATCAAAATATTTCTATATAGTCCATTCCTCATTCGTAAAATCGTTTTACTAATTAATAAACCTTTCAATCAAAAATTAAAAAAACAAAACATTGTCAGCATGACCAAACATTATAGTGAAAAAACCTGAACAATTTTCAAAATATGCATAAATTTGCATTGATAACACGACTATGCGCTCGTTTACATGTCTTTAGATTGTGTGGATGATTTAATTAACCACGTACACCCAAATTCTACCGATAAGTCAAGTACAGTATATCTGATTGGAGGCGCCAAATTAGAGATGGCGTGACATTTGACAACTGATCATAAATAAAAATCAATCTATTGCGAAGAATCGCCGATGCTTTTTTGCATTATTCCACAGTTCCCACAGCCATTATCGTCGTCGGTATGTGGTCTAATACTGAAAATACTGTTAGTCGTACTTTAAAATATTGAAACTATTGTTCATAGTTCATACTCCGGATACCTGCCGTAAAAATCTATTTTCCGCTTCATGCGAGATCTCACAAGACTGTTCAATTTGCTTAGCAGCCGACTGCTAGTCACGTGACACAGGCAAAGCTTTGATTCAGAATGAGTCTAGTGCTGTGTTTCAAATTTCCGAGTGATTTCTTGCGTATGTTTCACGTTTTCGACCATGGCTGACTTCGATAGAATGACGGAGGCACAACACACAAACTTTCTTTGTAAATTCGGCGTTTCATCATCTAACTATAAAAAGAATAGTCTTCTTGCAATCGCTAAAACTGTGCACGATTTTTGATTCGAGGAACACCCTGATTCGTTACGCCACAATAATAAAAACGACGCCGCTACAAGACTTGGTTGTAATTTCACCGATTCTTTGAAATTAGCTGGTTACTCTAGTGATTTAATTAAAGTTCTAGAATTCGGCATGTCCGACGTTGTCATTAGTATATACCATGGAGCTATATAGCTCTGTGCAATCCAACTACTTAAATTCTGAAAATACAATATCACGCAATTATATAGTACAATGCATGATGTAAGGATATAATATCTACTATAAAGTAAAATACCTATATAGTGAGGTATTTTAGCGCATAATAAATTCACGTATTACAACTTATACACGTATGTCACAAATGATAACTTAATGTGACAAATAACATAACATACTTGTCGTCACACGGTGGCTAATGATTGTCATGACCTAGCACTAACAGTGTTATTTAATGTGTCATCAATCCGATTATGACCGGAAAATGCTTCGAAGATTTGAAATTATATTGCGCCGGGCATGTACGTACACAGCGATTTCCGAAACATGTCCACTTGGTTCGGTGACGACCTTATCTTCTGTGATTCGAATATTCGGCATTCAACACCTCTTCAGCCTGGTGTAAAAGTAGTGTAAGTTTTTTATCCAGTAAAATGTTGAAAGTAACCACATGTTTTTTTTTTTTTTAATGTACTCATGGCAAGTTTCGTAATTCATGGAGAATGCATAGGCTCATTGATATTTCACTCTAGTGCTATTGCTCAAAATTGTGCATGTTTTCAATAACTTTTCCTGTGCCACGTTACCTAATTTGTATGCTTTACGAGAAATCACTGGAAATTTGGAAACAGCAGTACTATAGTATCTTAACGGGGTCAAGACAAAGAACCCATCAGACGAATTCTTGAAATCACATGCTAACTCAACGTTACAATTTACGCCGACGAAGAACATATAGTTATATCCAAATATTATAACAAATCCTCACTTTGTTTACTTAAACGATATTATTGTAGCGGTGCTTGGCTTGGAACGTTTCACACTGGGACATGAGAGAGGTGGATCCCAAGACCATGCTAGAATCATGTAGGTTGATAATTAATTAATTAATTGTTTGCATTAAAATAAACAATTGAGTTTGTTGGTATGAAACATTCTCTTATAGTATTAATTGTGTTGTATTTCTTTTATGATATCCTAAGTCGTATTGATTACCATGACGATGACTATATACCGTTGGTTCGTGATTCTTATACAACAATCCAAGACGTAGAGCGTGAGTCAGGTCTCAAGTTAATACACATCACAGGCGAGATAATGATGGTGAAGAAAGACGATCCTAGATCGGAAATACTCGGTGCTTACGAAGAAGCTATGACAAAGGCAAATCTAAAGTAAGAATGCAGTCAGCAGTCAGTCAAGGTATATTTATTAGACTGTATAACCCGGACCAGCAACGAATAATCTGTTTCAGCGAACTAATGAAATTTCGGACGTTAGTGGCGCAATCCTGCAATAAACAAACCTCAAACTGTCGGTGTGTTGTTTGAAAGCGAATATTTTGACTTTAATTAGGACTAATTAAGCTCGTATCCTTTTTGTGAAAGAGACAAACTAAATAAGCATTACAAGTTGTGTAGAATTTTGTATAATTCCAATTCTTGCTATTCAAAATCTGGACTCATGTACAATCTCAAAATAAAGCTATTAATTACCTTCAAACAAAACGTAAGCACTAATGCTAAAAGTTCATACAGTCGGTGACGTCACATAAACAGGATTCTTTAACGAATTGCAATTTATACGTAATAACTTGTTTGTATCTTTGCAAAGGTATGAAATATGGAATCAGAACGAAATTCAACGTCGATTCCCACAATTTTGTTTGGAATCCAATGTTGTTGGTCTATACACAAAGGACAGTGGTTTGGTGGATGCTGCAATGACTAACGCTGCACATATACAACTAGCACGACGTAATGGCGCAACCATTGAAGAGAATTGCCAAGTTTTGAAAATGGAGAAAGATAAAGATGGGGTACATGTACTGGTATGTGTTCTGAGTCAATAATACTGATTTAAGGTTTACATTTTGAAACCATGTAAACTGGTATCTTCCAATATGTGCTGAAACACTGGCCATTGTATACAGAACTTGGTGAACACGTGATTCGAATTTTGTTAATGCGCCTGGGATATTAAAATCGGTTACACTTGTGTCAGAATAAATTAGAACGTATATTTGTAAAGTTATTTTATTCAGTAAATTAATTCCTAACTTAAGGTGCATACAACAAAGGATATGTTTTGCGCTCGTCACGTGATAGTTACTGCTGGTGGATGGACCAATCAAGTACTGTCATCGTTGGATATCAAGTTACCTCTCACTATCACACAAGAACAAGCAACGTTTGTTGCCACTCCCAATTTGAAAGACTTTACTAAGAACAGGTAATGCATTTGTCATTTATTAGAATATTTAAGGTTTCAATAAACAAACTGTCAATGTTTTGAATCAATAGTAAATCTAAATACACTACTGACT